TCTTTTGTGATTGTGAGTACTGAATTAAAAAGTTTACAAAAACTTATGCAGCACATATCAGTTTGTAATTAGATTAATATTGAGGTGCTAATCTATACAAAATCACATAGCCTATCTCGCAGTTTTTAGTTACTGTAGAACTGTTTTTCTTAAAAAATACGTTAAAATAAAGAAAAACTCGTAAATATACACAAAAAAAAAATTGTAAAAAGTATTAGCCTTCCCAACGGCATCGATCAATACAATTTTAAAACTTCGCGTTGAAAATACAACAAAAATGCAAAGTAAAACAAAAAACAACTAAATGTTCATAATTCAATATCAATCGGAGGGTAGATGTTCTTTATAAGCTCGGAACAGTTGCCCCGCTAAGAGCGAAATCAAGTCTCTCCCGCGGAATGATGCAGTCACGCCGATCAAACTCAATCTCGGTATCTTACAAATTTAATTTCAAACCGCCGCCGGAGCGAAGAAAAACCCGACTAGAGAGGCAGAGAGACGAAGATGAAAAACGCAACAGTGGCGGATGGAAAAGTAAGCGTATCTGAAACGCAATAACAGAGTAGCTTTCGTGGGAGAGGGAAAAATATAATGAAACGTTGAAATTGTGCTCCAGAGTCCTGAGGGCACCGACTGTGTGTGCATTGGTACACAAACATAGCGCGAGGCAGAATCGATGCAGTGACGTTGAAATTTATTTTTTTTTTCTCTTCTGTTTTTCATTGGGTGAGTCAATGCGGAAAAAAAAATGAGAGCTTAGCCACGCTAATGGTGATGATTTTCTTTTTTTCTTGAGAGTGAATGAATTGAGGGGTTATTTGTCGTATGTATTGAATGTGAGGGCTTTAATAATTTCAGACTACGTAAAATTTTTAAAGATTTCACAATGATTGCCTTATTCATTATTTGCATGATAAATGATTTTTTTTTGTATTTTATAACGATTTGTATTTACTTTGTATGAATTTTAGTATTCGTTTCATAAATATTTATTTTTAAAGGATTTCAGATTGACTGTCTCAAGGAAGTGCAAATGATGTCAAAAGCTAAAAAAGTAAAAACCCAAAATTAAAATTTGCTTTCAACTAACGATAAATATTCGCAACTGCAAGCGGGATAAAATCAAATGAACATCGATTCGTTACATGAATGCCCGGGAGCAGTGATATCTTTTTATTGCCGGGGACAAATGATAAATCGGCGCGCGCCGATATTACAGAACGCAACCATAAATCAAAAACCGCGGGTTGATTACGCGTTTAACCGGGGCTCCTCATTATTTCATTAAAGTCACGAGCCATAGCGGAGGCTCGGGAGGAGTCGAACAATGCGAATTAAAATTTTCAATCGTCGCAACAATACGCGGGGAGTGGGATTTCCGGGGGGGGGATGCAGTGAATTACGCACCTTTGAGGGTTTCGCGGGGCGATCAATAAATTTGGTACTGCGAGCATTGTACGCATAAATTGACGCACTTGGAAGGGTAATTAAATCCAACTTCGGGTGCATGGAGAATGAAAAAAAAAAGAAAGGAAAGGGATGGATGATAAATCAAAGGCTGTGTGCGTTATGTGAAGGCCCATGTAAGTGAGACTTGGGTATGGATACTTTTCTCATTTTTTATTGCAATGCAATGTAATATTTGAGCCTAAATTTTTTTTTTCAACGACCTCATAGCACAGTGCTTAACAAAATTTTTTCTGGAAGAAAAATCCATTGCAATTTTTTATGAATTAAATAACATCTGAAAAATAAAGAGTTAAGGAGTTTGAAAAAGTATTTTAATGAATTATTTCAAATACTTAACAATAAATTCATCGGTGAAGAAAAACTTTGTTTCATAATGCACCGTGAATAGTAATAAATTGAAAAAATTTTCACCAAAGAAAGGTGTTTTGTTAAGAATAAATTTTTATTCAAAGTTTTTAGGTATCTATTAAATACTTGTCCCCAAGTCTAGGTAGAAAACAACTTCATAGCTGTGATTTTGCCATAAAACCAAAGACGAAACATTTATGTTTTCGTATCCCTTTTTGTATTAATGCAGTAAAAACTGCGAGCTTATATTGTTACTGCACACATACTTTACAAATTATATATGTAATGTAAGTAAACTCTTAATATAAAATTGGTTAGGCTTAGATTAACTGTTATAAATCTCAAATTGATGTGTAATCACTACAATTAAAAACTAAAGTTTTGTAAGGAAGAAGTTTTGTAAAGTTTTGTTAGAACACAACTTTGGATTTATAGCTATATTTTTGCCATATTTGTGATTTTTTTTAATCAACAAAATTTTTCATCTGGCTAGAGATTCATTAAATGTATATGCTAGAGTACAAATATCATGAAAATACGCAAGACTGTCCTTTTTTACCTACCATACTCTGGATAGGCTTAAACTTTCTTGACAACTCGCATCATTACTCTCAACAATGATTTTATGTTTTCTCACTAAATAAAGAACTTTGTATGAAAAAAACACTATAAAAACCCACAACAGAAAAAAAGTAGTACCAATTAAAACAACAATCTCTGTTGACTCGGACGATTACCCGAAATCCCCTTTATTTCGCGCTTATCTCCGGCCAAAAAGTTTCCTTCATCAAGCCCCGCGTTTGCATGCAAAAACACACAGCCAGCAGTTAAAGTTTACACCCTAGCACGCCACTTTTTTTTCCACTCCTCTTATTAAAAAGCAAATCCCCGCGGCAACTCCGCGTTTTTACTGCCCAAAACGTTCTCGCGAAAATTGAAAAAAATTCCCACCCCAACCAATCGCGTCCCTTTACCTCCAATTTCAAATCTAAGCTTGACATTATATTTATCGATGCAGAGAAACCTCGGGACCAAAAATAATCAATACCTCCTTTAGCTATCAAAATATCTCTCCACTTACCCGCGTGTTCTTAAAAAAAAAAGAAGCTCCTGCTTATCAGCCTATACGTATGCGCTCTGCGCTACTCCACGCTTTTAATCAGATGGGGATGGGGATGGGATTTCGGCCCTTTCTTCGCTTATCGACACGCCGCGGTTCCTATCCCATCCTCGTACATATATTTTTTGCTTGAAACGGGGAGTTGCTTATCTTTTCTTCTCCTCCTCCGTTGGAATTCAAAGGATTGCGGAAGTTGGTTTTTTGCTGCTAACTTGGGTGCGTGGATCATTGGATTAGCACGTGTACCATTTACGAAGAGTCAGGTATTTTCGAAATAAGAAAAATAGATTTTCAAAGGTTTTTGTAGTCTTTGATGCAGAGTGTCGTTTAAAGTCTTACAAAACTTTGTAATTTTTATTGCGTAAAGATTGGAAGCCCCTTTTTCCAATCAATTTTTTATTTTCGTCGGTAAAACCACGTTTTTTGTTTAAAAAGTATCAAGTACGGATCAAGTTTTTTTTTTTTTTTTTTTAACTTAACGGAATAAAACTACATGTTTATAAAAAGGGAACGAGGAGCCCGGGTGCTTTTAAGGAGGATAATATTGCGAAAAATTGAGTCAAAAAGGTCGCTTGCTCCGGGTAACGGTATACACTTGCGTATAGCGAGATCTCGTGTTCGCGATGTATATTCAGGAAAACTTGCCTCTACATCGGCTATACACGCGTAATACGCTCGTATCTGTTTACGTCGCTTCTCGTGTGTAATTTTACTTCGTTTCACGATACTTTGTGAATTTAAATTGTGTTATTCAATTTTGTTTTACATTACGCACTGCGGGTAACTTATGCGAATATCCTTTCTTGTTTCGTGGCAGAACTGTTGCGTCACTTTAATTTTATTTATTTTGACATGATTCCACGGGACTTTTGGGTAGAATTATACGACAAACTTTTTGGTACACTCTTGCTAAATCCAAAAAAAAAAAAAATTGTATTAGAAAAGAAACATGAAATCAACCAATGTCTGACTATTCGCTGACTATGACTACTTAAGACTTTTTTTTCATCGCATACACCACCTAAATTGCGTTAAAAACATTTGCTCGTCATCCACTGGCTCACCAGAAGGGGGACTACAGCACAATCTCATAAGACCACATCGTTAACGAACACGAGTCCACTATGTGGACTAACCTACGTGTACCCAAAAAATCTCGCAAAACAAGCAGCACGTAACGAGATGATAAAAAATTAAGTTAAACAAAGCACTACGGCGCAGCAAATACCGTCGGCTTTTTGCAGTGCTCCCCTTTAAACTGGCGTGCCCACCCTCATTTTTACGTCTAGCCCCGAGGAGAGGACTTTACGACGCGAGAAGTGAAATCGTGAAATTCTCTTCTCGGACAAGCCTCCTCTCTTTGTCCGCTCGGCTCTTTCTTCTTCTCCTCCTCCGCCTTCCGTTCGTCTGTCTCGTACTTTATACTCTACTTCGGGGTGTATTTCTTTGGATAAGCTGACGCAGTTCTGTCCTTGGTTAGTATCGCCGCGCTCTTTGTTGTTTCTCACGTGCCCATATGAAATATTTGGCAAAATTATCACACCACCAAATCTAGTACGAAAAACTCGTGTATGAGCCTCATATTCTCAACGACATTTAATAATAGACTTGTCATACAGAAACCTTCGTTGCTGACAGGGTGGTGTTTAAATGGCTTTTATTATATTATAAAATGCGAACATAAAGGTACTAGATTTAAACTTAGTTTATTAGGATAACCGTGTAATTATAACAAAAAAAGCTATCGGTCTGAAAATCTGACTTATATTTTATATTTATCAGACGATTTGTAGTGAGATTATTATTAAAATATCGACTGAAAACTCCATGCATCAGATATTAGAACAAGTATTGTCTCTATACTGGTGTATCTTATCAAATCCACTCAAATAAACAAAAAAATATACCTTGACGGTAAAGTAGATGACTATCTTACCAATCGATCCATATATCCCGTATACGAGATATAGCTGTACAAAAAGAAATTATGTTACATTGTGACGCAATTTCATACCAGAATAATTCCAGTCGCAACAGTTCAACGAATTATTTTTCATTACAGCGAATCAGCCTCTGAAGACCGAGCAGTTCGGCCAATCGTTAAGCTCTGAGCTTGAGGGCAACCCGCCATTATGGGTGACCAGAAGACCTGCAATGAAAGGCCACGAGGACATCTTCATCAACAACGCGAGAATAGTAGAATCCAACTACGAATCCACTTTCGGGCCGAACGAGAACGAAAGGAAGATCCAGGTAAGATCGACCATGCGAAACTAGTTGCATTGCGCTTTTCAACGCAAGCGAGTTCTCGCGAAAAAAAGTGAGTTTCAATTAACAAAAGAGCCGCGAGGGTGTCACCAAAATTCACAGGAAACCGCCCCGTGGAGCTCGTCGTTGTTAAAGCTCCGGGAAAAAGGGAATTACACGGAATTAAGATTAACATCGGAGAGAGCGTCTCTAATGCTTCGAGGCTTGGCGTCAAAGGTGTTGGAAAGCTCCTCGAGAGCTTCTTTCGTGTATACGTAATCGCATCGCTTCGTGTAATTGGCACGGCGAGTTTTTGCGAGAAAAGAGAAAATTTCGCGCGTATAACGTCAAAGCAAATAAAGTTTGCCCCTTCTTATTATACTTACCGACTCTCTTGGCTCTCAAAAGCCGAAAGCTCACCTTCCTTGGGAACTTAACGTTCGGGATTTCTCGCTCCGAACCTTTATTTTCCTTTACGTATGAAGAGGCTTTCGTTCGGAACTTTGCAACTATGATTTGTAAATAGTTGATTATTGGTGTTTGGGAGGTGAATTCTGGAGAGTTGATGCTGATTAAGGCATTTTGACATTGTTAAATATTCGTTGTTTTCCAGGGCACATAGGTCTTTTTCAAAACGAAATTCAAACAATATGATATAAAGCTCGAACAAACGTTTTTAGATCAAAAAATGTATTGCTTTTTAGCTTACGAGTACTTGAAAAAATCTTCGAACAGACACAAGTTAACTTTTGGTTCGGTCTGACTACAGACTGACTGTAACTACTTAAAAAGTGATATTTTCTCCGTATCACCGGGTTCAATGAATATTATTATACTTTCAGTAATAAGAATGTCATTAGCTACAAAAAAAGAAAAAAAAATTATACAAACGAAATAAATAGAAGAACATCAACTGATTCCCGGGGGGTCCCAATTAGGAAGCAGCAGAGCTCGTTCGTACAAACATAATTAGAATCCGCGCTTATTTGTCCCTCAAACACACGCACGGCCTACGTATGGGAGTAAAAAAAAAATCACTTTCGCTATCCGAATCTTCAGCCCAATGATGTATCGGCAAAACAAAAGGAGCACACCTTCCAATAGATAAAGATAAATAATCACCGTAGGAGGTGTGTGTACTTTTGCAAACTCTGTTTGGGGGGTTTATTTTTTTTTACGTGTAAAGGTGCTTTTGATTCTTTGGCCCAGGGAATAAGAGCGTATTTAGAAGCTATAGGTAAGAAGCTAAAAAAAAGAAAAATTCGATAACCGAGTAAGGGTTCATTCTCAGGGTGTTGACTCTGCACAGCTGCGTCGGATCGTTTGCCGATGAAATCAAACGCAAATTGATATTCCAAATCGACAGGTTGGTGTGGAAAGTGAAAAAAAAATCGACTTAAAAAAAGACATACCAGCACGTAGGTGGGTGGGGGGGGGGTCATGAAAAGGCAGAGAATGATGAGATTGGGCGTCGAAGGGGAGAAAAATCGAGCGCCAAAAATTCGCGCCACGGCCACCGGGAGTCGCCCCCCCCCCCCTCCCTGACTCTTTTCTCTGCGAGCCTTTCCTTCTTTAGCAGCGGCGCGCTCGATTCAATGAATCTCTCGCTGGCACGGCCGTTTTAAAGGGGAGCAGGTGCTACCCTCCGAATTTATACCAGCCAGATGCTCTCTGTTTCCGCAATTTTTTCTCCTTTGTCAGGACAAAGACGCATGCAAAAATTTCCTGCTTAGCGATCAGAAGATAAGAGGAGTTTCAAATCATTAAAATTGAAATCTGTACTAACTTCATATCAACTTCACATTACATTGTTATACCCATAAAATTGATTGTTTTAAACATTTTCCAATGAGTTTGAGTTGTAACCTAAGGATTCACCATCTATGAAACTAAGTAGATACAGGCAAGCAAGGTAAGATAAATAATCGGAGACATTAAATGACCTTAAATTATATTATGCATTTGAAATCTGTGTCATTCTTAATTTTCAATAAATAAATACTTGATAAATGTATATTTATGTGAGAAAATATATTTTTAGCTAATTTAGAAGTTAAAAATTAATCACCAGATTCCACCCACCATATCTTGAACGTATAGACAGGCAGCAGAAGATCAAAACAAGATCGTGATAACAAATTTATTTTTTTTTTCAATCTACTGGTGACAATAATAATAAGAGTATAATAATCATGAAACAAAATAAGATGAATACTTATTGCCTTCAACTCTAAAACATTTGAAACAGAAGAGTCGACGATCGGCGTTTAAGACTAAGCCTGATTATAATTTCGATTAAGAGCCAGTCACTCGACAAAACCATCTCTCAAGACTCTGGTTTGTTATTTTTTTTGTTCAATCACAATTTCCGGGAAAATACTTAATAACCAACACAACATTCCTTTCAAGGAAGTAAGCCGCAATTACAACCCACGTCCTCCGAATGGCGCGCAGCCGCTTCATTAAGAGCTTTAATGATCCGAACACGGTGGCAAAATTAATTTCCGCATCTCATTCGTCTAACCGACAGGCGCGGATTGTGATTAAAAATCCTAGAAGGGCGATTCATACGCGAAGGTCTTGGAAAATTAAACAGCCGCGCTTTGGAATCACCCGCGTTGTGATTATCGGCGAGGGTGTAAAACGTTGCCTTAATAAAGACGGGGTAGGTAAGTAAAGAGGAAATGAAAATGAGGAGAAGACGTTAACTTGTTGTTGCGCAAGAGAGAGAAAATTGCACGCAGGGACAATAAACAAACTACATTTCTCCCTCTGATGCTTTATTTATCTTCTCAGAGAGAGGGGGAGGAAGTTCATGGCAATATTGTTAAATTGGATCTTCGGTCAGGAAGTGTATGTGTGTGTTTATAGAAGAGGATATGCATAAACAGACCCACCACAGGATGTAATGCTCTATTCAGAAGGACGAAATCCGCTTTATAGATCAAGTGCTTTATATTAAATTACATCGAGTGAATTTGATGTAACGTAGATACAAGGGTTTTCGATGAGATTTCAGTCCATCCACAGTCTATTGGAACATTGAGAAAACAGTTTTAATGGTAGCTTAAACAATGATGGGTCCGAAGATAATTTTAAACCTCTAAGGTTGCAATTAAATTAATCTTTGAAATTCATTGAAACAATAATGTAACTAAAAAACAAATCCCATCGGTGAAGTACAGGATTGTTCAACAGCTTCATCGTTGAGTCTCCTTTAATGGCTGGATTATTCGATTATTTTTCTCTTCTAATTGGGTTACACTTACGACTGCATGATTCCAAGCAACAACCCCGAGAAATCGGTCCATCGTAGATCTCGGCCAGTACACCAAGAAACCCGGAAGACCAGTGCGAAGATATGCTCTTCGACCTTTGTACACGTGGGTTACATACAACTTTAGCTGCAAAGCTTGGGGAAACTAAGCGCGAGATAGTTCAATTACCTCGCTCCTGGACTGGATCTCCTTTGTGGCTGAGAAGGTCCCACGCGCGGATTAAGACATTGTCGTCGTCGGGGCTGACAATGTACCACCCTCCTCTCCAAGTTAGTTGTCTCTGTAATCCCCTCCGGACTTGCGCTCTATACCATGCACCAGATTTCTTGCCAATGGTTTCCGCAGAAATCGAAAAATCAGTGGCCACCCTTCACTTTTTGGATTTTCAGTGCTGCGCAACAACCCTTTGTTTTTTTTCCCCATTTTCCAATATCAGATTAATATTCTCAAGTAACCCTAATTGTAGTACGCAATGTATTTTCCTCTCCCCTGTATATGATCTTAAGGGAGTTATATCAGTACAGCTCAAAAGTTAGCTTTAGTAAAACATCGTTTGATTGTATAATTGTTCTCGAGAAATCCAAAGTAGTGAAAAAGTTCATAAAATCTGCTTGAAAATTAAAATGATGGTGCGTCCAAACTATTAGTCGCAGCATCAGTTCTAAGTAGTGTAGCAAAGGTATCTTTTTCCACGAAAATCTGTAAAAAATCTGCTTTCTCTGTATCCCCCTTAAAATCACTCGCCTCGAATACTCTAAGATAAAAAAATTAAAAAAGGTTGAATCCACAAGTAACACCCTTCCCATTGATTTTCCACCGATGATTTTCCACCGGTTCGGTTTTACAGCAAAGCAAACAAGGTGAACACCCCACATCGCGGCCCTAAACACCCAAAGACAAAAGCCTATACCCGTTTTTTGATTCCCAAAAACCAGCCCTCCTACACACCCAACCGACCCCAACGAAATCCCGTGTGCTCTCCATACACACTTTTATCTACGGCCCCGCACTCGCGCCTGCAATCCGCTTACACGCCGAGAGAGGGGTAGAATCCAGCGGAAGCTGCTGCTCGTGGCCCATTAACGTAAATCACAATTTGAATGCGCGCGCGTGCGGTCCGCGAACGAATCGCCAGAAGTAAAAGCTAGCCCCTCGGTGCGTCAAAAGCGCAGGGAGGGGGTGGGCTGGTGTGCGACGAATAATAATCCTTTGTGCGCGCTTGTGCACCCTCCCGGGGATATAACTGTTGCCCGAGTGGGTAGTTTGGCTTTTGCTGTGTGGATGCGTGTGTGTGTGTACGCGCGCATGGAAGAACAGGAGGAAATTGTCAAGTAAGATCAACGAGATATAGTGCCTCAAACGAGGGTCGGGGGCTGCAGCGCTAAGTTGGATTTATATACACGGGGTGCCACGGAGAAGCTGCTCCTGGGTGTCTTGCGAGGGATTCCGTTGTGTTTACATGTTTGCTTGGATGCGCTCTTGTTGTTGTTGTTTTTTGTTTTGATGCCGAGGCTGGAGGTGGGTGTATATACTGCCGAGGTGGGAATTTGAATGGCACTGCGAAGAGGATTGTTTTTTTTTTAAATTTATTTATTTAGTTGTCACTGAGGAGAAACTTTGATGTATTATGAGAAATGAAAATATAATTTGTCGAAATTCGTTGAGAGCTTTTTTTGTTAATTTTGTTCATTTGTGCGAGTAATTTAATTCATCGACATTTCCCATCCA